ACGCTAAAAAAATAAAGCGAAAAACTTAGTAAAGCAACAGATAATGTAATGGAACTAAAGCTTTAAGATCATCATTGCTTGGCTAATGCTTCGTGTCTTAATAATCAACAAGAGATAGGAGTCTCTGGTCTGATGCTTCATCAGCTTCGGACTGAAGAGCTAATTTTTGTATTGTCATCTTTCTTTGTTTAAAGTAGTATGCTTTAATCTTCACCTCATGTCTTGTTATTGTCTGAAATATTATGCTTTGGCAAAGACAAAGAGCAGCTTCATGTACCAAATCAGGTTAAATTCTCTTAACCTTTTTTCTTTTGAGAGAAACCACTTTAATCAATTAATGTTTTTATAATAAAAAGGCAAAAAAAAGTTTTAAGTATGTTTGATGAGCAAGTTAACTAAAATTTCGTTTGATATATATTTTTTTCAATCAAACAAACTAACGAAAAGAACATATATTTATGTGTATATATATATTCACTTTTCGCCCTTTTCAATTTTTCATCTTCTAATTTTTTTCATTCACCCTTACCATGCAAAATTCCAAATTTTCTTCACACCTTTTTGTCGAGTTTAAAACAGTAGTAACGGAGTCCTATTATCGAATTTCGTAGCGTATAAAATCAAAGCAATAAGAAATGAGACAAGGAGAAGAGAATGAAATTGAAAGCGTAAAAAAAAAAAAATTGCCAAAACAACGTATAAAATATAAGGGGTAGAACGCAGGCATTTTGAATTCAAGGTTTCGCATACACAAAGTTTAAGTGAATCATAAGAACAACAGGGAAATAAGTTTTAACGTTTCGCATTGCATCAGTATTCTGAAATGGAAATAAACTCTGTCCGCCCTGCGTGCTTCCTGACAACATACATTGAGTTGTTCTGGTAAAAATAAAAGGAAATAAAGGGCTAAAGCAACACTGGACAACAATCTTCACCTCAATTTCTATCCACCGGGTGTTAACAAGGTGAAACCTACTTACATCTTTGAATTCCATCATCAAAATTGCCATGACTACTCTCAACAACACCACCTAACCTTTTTTTTCCCTAAAATGGACTATAGCTTAGAGGCCAAAAAAGCCCAGTTCGCTGGCTCTTTCCTTCTCAAATGTTTCGAAGTACTGGTAAATGATTGTTACGGCAAGTAATATTCCAGTCCCTGAACCAATTGCTCCCATGAAATCGGCTAAGACAGTTAATGCACCGATACACATTCCGCCAAACGCAGCTGCAGTTGGTATGTAGCGGTTCAGTTCTTTCTGCAGATTCGAATCTCTATGTCCAGGCATCACCATTTGTTGTTCCTGCAAAGAAAATAGGAAACATGGAGAAGTCAGAACTGCATCCAGTAAAAAACCCTTTTAAGTTTAGACTTTGAAAACTCTCCATCCAATTCTGGATATCAAAGTACTAGAATATCAAATTAATTCTTTTAAAAAGGTACAAGTAATGTAAATCAACAGAACAAATAAGCAGTGACATCATTTAATAACATATTAGGCAGGAGAATTCATGATCCACAAAATTCTACTGCATACAAAATGCAAAAAAGCAAAAGATTAAGCTAATCAGAACTTAAAGGTTTCCTCTGCTAGAAAACTGAAAATGCCAATTTTTTTAATAATAAAAACATAAGGACCTTAATGGACAAGGATGGATGAGAAAACAAAACGTATCATATTAAGTTACCTTGAGCTGCTTAGCCACATCTCTGGCAGAAGAACCAGAAACTTCAATCCAAGTTTTTGAGAACGCGGCACAGGCTGAAAGCATGAACACCAGATAAAACAGAGCATGGAAGGGATTTGCAGCCATGTCTGCCAAGCTGCAGGAATAATCAGAAAAACCAGGCATCACGACAAATGAAGAGAGGAAAAAAATGAAAATTCAAGCATACCTATGTGATACATTGGTGCACTGAACCATGTTAAAAAGTGATGGGAGAGAAACAACATCAATTCTAACCTCGCAGGTGCAGTAACATAGTATGCTAGACCTCCAACGGGAATAAACTGACCACCTGAATATTCAGATTCCTTCCACTTGCCCAACAGATTCACAAAGAAGTTACCACTGTACCTCCTGTACAGCAACTGCACAACAATAAACAGTGTTATGGTAGTCCAACATTAACAGTAAAACGAAGCCTTTTCATATTTACCATTCATAGAGTAAAGGAGGTACCTGGGAGATGAAATAAAGATTTGAAACAAGTGCAGATTGCAGGATTATAGGCATGTTGGAAGTGTAGAATAACTTAATGGGATATGACCCTTGTTGTCCACGAGCATTCTTTGATCTTACAGGCAAAACAACACGGAAACCTTGGAAGTAGATGACAATGAGGAAGATCAATACTGTAGCAAGTAAATTTGTTACATTTGGGAGATTCTGCCGATAGAAAGCCTCACGAAGTGCACGAACTTTGTCCATCCTAGTTATCAATAGATGGAACATACCAATGACAGCACCTTCAAATTCAGCCCCCCGACCACTGTTAATAGTTGTAGGACTAAAGGCTTTCCAGATTATGTTTTCACTGCACAATAAAATTAGTATTTAGGATAGCCACGTCCTGAAATGCATTTGAGTTGTAAAAAACGGAAAACAAAGTGATAACATACCATATATTGGTGGCTATGAAAAGGGAGATCCCAGAGCCTAAACCATACCCCTTCTGGAGAAGTTCATCCAGGCAGATCACAATGATTCCAGCAAAGCAAAGTTGAATAATAATAAGAATAGCATTCCCAACACCAAGCTGACCGACACTGCCATACATACCAGACAGTACATATGCCACTGCTTCACCCACAGCAATTAGGATACCCAACAGTTTTTGAGCCCCATTTCTGAAAAGAACAAATAAAAGCACAAAAGATTATAGCATGCACATAGATATCATAAAGAATAGATGTCTGAACCATCACAAGCAACTACTGAATCAGAAGTGCAGAAAAGCACCAATAGCATAAATATTTTGCATGTTATAAATGAGAAAATAGCTTGCTTATCTAATCCCTAGAAAAAATGAAGGATTTTTCATTTTGGCTAAAAAGCAATTCCATTGATCAGCGAGTAACTATGTTAAAATGCAAAAATAGAAGATAATGTGAATAATACTTACAAGAGTGCACGATCCTCACGAACACTGTTGTCCACCTCAATGATCTTTGAACCAGCGAGGAGTTGCATCACCAATCCAGATGTCACAATGGGGGTAATCCCAAGTTCCATAACAGTTCCACGGTTGGATGCAAGGATAACACGCATCCAATAGAATGGATCAGCACCCGTCGTAGAATGTATTCCATAAAGTGGAAGCTGACTGCACACCAGAAAGATGAAGAGGGAGATGACAGTGTAGATGACCTTCTCTCTAAAGGGAACTTTCCTGTCAGCACTCTGAACCTCAGGCAGAAATGAAAGAAATGGTCTAACCAGATGCAGCACTCTGAACCCCCCTCCCATATTGACTGTTCAGAACTGAATTACACCACCAATTCAACTATGGTTTGTTAGTTAAGGAACTAGCAAAAAATATAATGCGTTTAAGAGTAGAATAGAAAAAGAAAAGAGACAGGGATGAACAGATATTAACAAGGCCTAAGTAAATACACGTATCATTGATAGGAAAAATCAAGAAAAAGCTAATGCCCATGAGTTTACTGCAACAGTTGAAACACTTTCATAAGTTTCAGCAAATAATTAGAACACATATATAATGACTCCTTGCATAATTAGTATCCGACTTTATGTCAATCTCCAAAACATTCATTCAATTCCTACAATTCGAACAATGATTATTTAGATGCAAGGAAGAATGCATGCCTTGAAAAATGAAATAAAATTAAAATTTTAAAACCAAAGAAGCTATGTAGAAACAAATTGACACCCGCAGCAGACCTATTAATCCAACATAGCAATCTGAAATTAATGTCAACAATGATGAATTAAACTCTAATCCAAATCAATTACCAGTAAGACTACAATTAGGTTTAGCATCCATTCAACCATGAATCGTTACCTATTATGTCGCATCATAACACAACATAAAATAAAATAAAATAATTATTTTAATAGGAAAGATGCATGATTACGATATTTTTAAAAATGATTGGTTCAAATTAATTAATATAAAAATGAAAACCGAAACAAACTCACGCGTATTCAAAGATCAAAAAAAATGGCAGCAGGTCTACAACTACATAAAGCAAATCTGGTAAATCCGATTTCGAAAAACAACATTCTAAAAAATTTTATTCATGCAAATCCACATCCCTAATTATCTCACGTAACATAGTCAGCAAATCGTTTTCAGGAAAAAATTATAAATAAACAAACAGTAAATGACTTCAAAAGGAATAATAAGAAACAAAAAAGAAAAGCTAAAATGAAGAGAGTCGGAGACATACCTTGAGGATTCGAGAGAAGATCTGAGCAGATCCAAAGTGAAATAAAGGGGTCCAAATAGATTTAATTGGAGCAAAGTTCCCTTCGAAAATGTTTCGGGTTTTACAAAGAAAAAAGGTCCCCGTGCAGGTGGAAGCTGAAAGAGACAAGCTGCTTTATGGCACAAATATTGAAAAGTAAAAAAAAAATTAAAAAAGAAAAGATAATCCGTTTACATCTGCTTGACTTTGTTTTGTCTTGCCACGGTATCTAATACAATAGGGATTTACCACGTGCATGTTTTCGCGTATGATTAGTTATTGGATTTCTGGATGTCAAACTCTTTTTGGGCCTATCTGCATCTGCATTATGGGTTTTCGTGCTTTTTTAGGCTTAATTTATTAAGAAATAAAAAAACAGAAAAAGAGTACTTATTCCTTGATTATTATTTTGATTATAAATATGATGATAATCAGGAAATCTCATGATCAATTGAGATTGCTTAATTAAAAATATGGGATTTGGGATCTTTCAGCCCAACCAGATCGGGAGGGAATGGCATTAACCTAGACGATGGGTGATGGACTTTTTTTTTTTTTTTGGCCAATGGGTGAAGGAGTTCAATAATCAGCTTGTCTCAATTGAAGTTTCCATACATCCATCCTTTCATTTGTAGCATGCATTTAACGAAGGATCTACAAAAAAGAACTCGTAATTTCACACTTCACCTCTCAACTATTATCTCGGCTCCATTCATATTTTTACCCTCTCCCGAATCACAAATCACAATAGCATCTTTACAAGTAAAAAATAATGGTATAGGAAAGCTGATCAAACTGCTATAACCATCGCTTACTAATCTAATCTAGGTGACAACTATATATATCATGTATGCTCTTCTTTCCATCCAAGTATCAACATACGCCGACTTTTAATCAAAACAAGTGCAACCAATGGCTTACAACAGTGCCTTTGCTCCATAAGTTCAAATTTGTCAGAAAAAAAATAACCCCTTCTCTCGAGTCTGCCTCAAGCTGGCAGCTGCAGTTTAGCATTGTTTTTCCAACTGCCAGGAAAATAGACAATTTTTACACATACCGGCATTGTGATAATTTCATGAAAAGGTATATTTGTTACCTGATGAAATAATAGTAGAAGAAATCTGCATACAGAGCTGTTTGGACAATGCCCGAGACACAAGCTGAAAACCCACAAAATATGCACACAAGTCAGAATATCAACATGCAGAAATAAACAAACTCGCCAGGTAGCATTGCTCTTAGGCTTCACCTATCCATCGACTAAAATGCTGCTCTGTAAAATAGCGATAGATCCAGTTAAGAATGTAGAAAGCTCGATAAGCCCTGCAGGTCCAAATTTATTTCATTAATACAGCACATAGCTGTCAGATATCTCATCACAACAATTGCATAATCAAAATCTAAATGCATCAAAGTGGTTGAACAAGGGCAACCTTGAGCATAGCCAACCATATTCCACTACTGATCCAAATGTTGCAGATGTACATACATCCATTACTCGGATAGAAGCAAAATAGAGCATAAGCTTGAGTAAATTTCATATGCATATTCAACTCTAAGACATCTATGCATATGCATAAACGGTATTTGTTGTCTAATATGATACAGGAATATTAGATGGATCATTCATGGAAATACATGGTACATACAACTAGAATACTTATAAGGTAATACATCAATGCTTCGACATCATATACAGCAAGTAACAACACCATGGAAGGAGGGAAGTAGAAAGGTTCAGAATCAAAGATAAAGGAACACATGCAAATGTGGTGGTAATACATCAATGCCATTTGACATCGTATACAGCAAGTAACAACACCATGGAAGGAGGGAAGTAGAAAGGTTCGGAATCAAAAATAGAGGAACACATGCAAATGTGGAAATAATCACTTCCATTAATCCTAAAAGTCCTTTACAAATGCCATTAAAACAAATAATTGAGCTTCATTATGATTCCTATGTGCTTAATTTTCTCAAAATCAGAATGGGCTAGAAACATACAACAAACCAGGAAAAGCATAATCTAAATATGTAATCAATTCTGAATTCCTGTCGAACCCTTATACTGCTGTTGATAAAAGAAAATTTTCAATGTAAAACTTCTAATAATCTCTCTCAAATTCATTAATGAAATAACAGGAATCAGAAAGGAGACTCACACATATTTTCTACTATGCTGATGAAGACCACGAAAAGAAAAAGTTACTAACTATTCATATGACAGAAGGCCCAGAACAAAATATCTGTGCTTCAATCAAATCAAAATATTTTTTAAGCTATTAAAAGAACACAGTTAACTACTTCAAATTACTTTACACCTCCAATCTGGGTATTCGATCACTCGGTCACAAGGTCCAATTAGCAACAAAGATACCAATTATACGTACCAAGATTTAAAGAAGGTGATCACTGTCTATTTAGTACCAGTGCTGGTGATGCAGCAGGCATAGGACCGTGTGAAAGTAAAATAACAAATGATAAAACATATCATTTTCATGCCAAACACATATTCAATATCACACCATATTGTGCCAACTAAGTTTTTAAAAAAATTTAAGTCACAAACCAAAGCTGTCTTCTACAAAGAGTGTAACGAATGAAAACTAGGCATACCCTAAAAAGAAGACATATTGCCCAGTTAAATTATCCACATTTCCACTTCGTTGTAGCAAAACTAACTGGGGAAGAATAGCAAGAGCCTCCAAGTAGATTGAAAATGCCCAGAAGATCTGCAATAAAAAAATTAATAGCAAATCCTATTGCAGTTATGAGTTCATGAGGAACAGAGAAATTGCTTGACAAGATGAAATAACTAATTTCAGTAATACGAAAGAGGAGTTTTTTTTTTTTATTATTTATTTGGATAGGGTGCTTAGTATCCAGTAAATTTCTCAGAGAATGTAAAATTAACTTAGGAGTTAGCAGCTCGAGATAAACAAACTTTAAGAAAGAAATCAAATCAACATTACACGCAAAAGATAAGAGGACATATATGTGATATACAGCTTCAGAAGTACAATTATGAAAATTTTCACAGAGAGAGAGAGAGAGAGAGAGAGAGATTATGCAACCACAACATGAAGCAAGAGAAAAGCCCAAACTGCTTCCTCAAAGTAAACAGTACATTGGGCAACTGAAGAATGAATAAGACAAAGGCCACACAGGATGAAAGATCCAAAGCACGCAAGTTCCAAAGAACTTCCATAAGGAGATGGTTGAGCAATATTAATAATCATTTAACGCATAGGCAAAAGGGAAAAAAAGAGAGGAAAAGCCCAGCTACTGTTCTCAGAATCACAGCCATATGAAGTGACATATATTTCATGCCAAAACAGATCATTGAGTAAACCAATCATGCCAAGTTTATCATAGTAAATAAGGAGAACCAAAAACAACAGAAAGAAGAAAGATAAAATTTATCATGGTTTCATCTCAGCATTCTAGGCTGTTTGCTTTGTTTTCAGCTGGTATAATTGGAACTTGGGAAGTTAGTATTACTGAATAATAGTATAAAATAGAACCAAATTCTCAATATTCACATTCATACAATCAAGATTTCTAAAGCATTAATAATTCAACGAATGATCACCTCCTGAAATGTGAACTTCTCATGGACCAAAAGAGCCAAGACAAAGCTTGCCAATATGAGAAAATGATAACGAAACGTGTCGAGGTCCTTGTCATAGGAACGCCTCACGACTCGGTGCATTCTCATACACCAAACAATGGCGAGAGAGCTGGCAATAAAGACGAGCTTCATGATGGTGTTGTACACAGATATAAAATCCGTGAACAGATCCAAGTAACGAGTCAAAAACACCAGCGCATATAGCTCCTGAGTCTTCAACGAAATACCTAAAAAAGAGCAAATTCAACTGGCAGAGTACAGAAAATGACAATACTAATGCTCTGCTTATTTCAAAATTTTCAATATATTATTAGTGAAGAGAAGAGATATCGAATTAGTAAACAAAAACTCAACAAATTCAGTTACTAAGGAACCAAACAGAAAAAATAAGAATAATAATAAAGTTAATTTTCCGTTTTGTTAACGAATAAAATGAGAGATTACAGGGGAAAAAAGAAAAATTAAAGTTACAGTTAAAAAAGTGCTAGAATACTTCAAAATTTAACCAAGATTAATTTTTAGCGGTTTCTCGGGAACCAAACGGAAGATGAGTAGCGAAAAAGTTACCTGAGCAAGATTTGGTAGCGTAGATTTTGAGGAGAAGCACTAAGATGCTAATTAAATGAGTCATGTCACCTGCAAATCTGAAGATATTCATTTTGAAATTCGCTTTTTTTTTTCTCAACAAATTTCGAACAAAAGGAATGACGATTGAGAGGATTTAGGTTGATCCCTGATTTTTTGAGAACAAAAAATATCAGAAGAGGAAATGAATTGAAAGTTGGATTTTAGAACATAGAAATAAGGGTGGGTTTTTCGTAGATTGTAAAGGAATAGATGACGTGGCGCTAGGGAACTGCATCTTTGGTGTTGCTTCCGCCAAGGGGACGGTGGTAATGCGGGTTTTGTTCCCGTGCAACGCGGCTTCATTGAGAAACTCTATGCCTCCGCTTCTTTCTTCCGGAAATTTTCGGGTTTTTTTTTTTGGTGGTATTTAATTATTTGATGTATTTATTTATTTATTTATAACGAGTGAAAATGAGGATATGCATATGGCTTGGCAAACAAAATTAATAAGGATGATGGTGCCGTTTAACCTCGTTTCCTTTTCGTGGGACTGTCGTTTTCGTTGATTTTTCATTTTTCCGCATGATCCTAACCTAATTCTTTAACTTTAAGCATTCCCCTTAACATTGAAGAGTAAGAAATATATCCCCCAACTAACAAAACTATGCTTAAGTATCATGCACTAAACAAATTTGGAATATTCAAGTTAAAAAACGCATTTTTCCTTTTATTAAATAATAAATTCATTAATAATAAGATAAATGAATTTCCTGTTCTAATATTGAATGTCTTTATTTTCCAAAATCAAACTAAGAAAGTCCAAAAATCTTATTTTAAGTTTTTTTTTTCAATCAAAACTATTTATACAAATATATTATTTTCTGTGACTTAAATTTATTTATTAGTAAAAGTTACTTCCACCACACAATAATATCTTTCTATGAACTAACAAAAAATTAATTCAATTGATTAAAATTTATTCTCTTCAACAAAAAAAAAAAAGTAGATTTAAATCTTATCGATGATCGTTTATTAAGATTATATCGAATGTATAATTTACAATCATCTTAAACTGTTAGATACGATATATTTTAATCTAACTTAAAAAATTAAATAACTTACCTATTTGAAATTTTATATACCATTATATTTTAAAAATTCAATTTTAAAAGTAATTATAGTACGATAATTCTTCTTATCTTGCTGTAAAATGAGCTATTAAGAATACATAGACTTAGATATTTGATCAAATAATAATGGTAAGCCATTTCATATTTTAAAAGTACTATACATATATTTAATGTAATACAATAAACAAACATAAAATAAACAAATCCATTGTCTTCCAACAACTTAAAGGAGATGACCAATGCATTAATGCATCATTATATTAAACATCTCAATCACAATCTGCTATTACCATAAATAGGAGGACCGATACAGGAGAGTTATCTCCACTCATTGCTATTATGTAAAATATTTAAACAATTTGAAAACTTTTGAACTTATTATGGAACGTGAAATTAACAATTACAATTAAAAATATTATAAGTTTCAAGCAAGAAATATATTTTTAATGCCGTGTTAAGTTTTTATTTTATTGTTGATTATTTTTTATGGTCTACATTTTCATGTTTTTATTTAAAAATAGGATTTGAAATTAAGTAAAAAAATTATCTATCAATCACCAAATCAAATCCTTTAAATTTGTATATTAGACACAATATATGAATGATACCAATATCGTAGTGTGCTCTATGTGAGATTTGTTTGGTAACTATTTAACTAATATGGAATTCAATAATATATACTATAATTTTATTAATTAATAAATAATTATTATAATATTAAAATAAATTATTTGATACGTCAATAATAAAGTTTTTTAATTTCATAAATATGATTAAAATAATTATATATATCTCATTTTTTTAATTAGGTTTTTTTAAATATATATATTTAAAGATATATGTTATTATTTTAATTTCGCTTGTAAAAATAAAAAATATATTATTAATATATTTGATAATTTTTTATATTAATAAAAGAATCTTTTTGAGTAAAAATAATAAATAAAAAATATATTATTTAATAGTTAATATTTGATATACTATCAAGTGTAAACTATAATTTCATAAATATTGTTAATACATTGGCATATGTCATATTTTATTTTTTTAGATATACTAGAAGGATATATATTACTCTTTTAACTCTATTTATGAAATTTAAAAAATTCAAATATTTAATAATTTCTTATTGTTTAATACATTATAAATAAGAAATCAAATTTTAATAGTAGTTATAAATTTGAATGAAAAAAATATTTTCATTAAAAAAAAAAGAGAAAACTACATAGTAATTTCATAATTTCCAAACTACTATTAAGTTAAATAAATTAGAAGTTTTAAATTTTGTTAGGAAATACTAAAAAAAAAAGAAGGGGAAGTTGAAAAGAAATGACAGAGACCTATCCAAGGACCCGAGAAAAAACGAAAAGGCTGCCCAACTATTCTTAAATCCTTTCATTAGCTGTCGCTTAAAGGTCACTGCTAGCCAAAGGTCTTACACAACAGATGCAGCAACAGCAACAACACCAGCTGCTGCTGTTAAACCATTTATATCAATCCGATTCCTAAAAATCCGAAAAAGGAAAAAAGAATTTTGATTCCTTCTCTGGCGAACCAAACGAGATGGGTTGTACGGGATCCAAACGAACCAGGGGTAACGGTAAAATAATTAATTGTTCGCTTTCTTCAAAATTTTGGATGTTTTATTTCGGTGTATTTTATGTTAATGATAGTTCTTTGCAATTACATTACGTCGAATTTTGGATTTTTTCTGGAATTTGACTAATTTAGACCCCTGTTTTGAGAATTTTGGTTTTGAAAGGTAGGGTTTAACTTTAAATTTAATCATCATATGATTTACGCTAAATCTGTTTTTGAAACAGTTATGCATTTGGTATTTGATTTCTATATCTCATAGTTGTTTTATTAATGAATAATCCGTATTTGTATTGTAAGATTGGAAGCTAAAAAAATGTTTGATTAGTTCTGGAGTTTTTGGTGATTTCAATGTGTTGCAGAAAATACGAAGCAAATCAGAAAGCCAAAGCCTTGGAAGCATGCTGAACCGATTACAAGGACACAACTCATGCAGATGCGTGATGAATTTTGGGATACGGCTCCTCACTATGGTGGCCGGAAAGGTATTTTCTCCCTTTATAGGTATTTACCATCAAGACATCGACGGTAATTGTTAGCAAGTTTCTTTGAATGCTGGTTTTCTGTTGATATGATATTTAGAAAGTTGGATAACTTATGCTTTTGTACTCAAACTAAGTATCCCAGAGATCAGTTGTTCAATGCAGTGTTTAGATCAGTGCAATGGGCTCAATACCAGTTGTTTGTGCAATGTTTCCTTCGTTACAGTTTGCCTTGCAATTTATAGGTGCAATTAGGTTCTAAAATTCCTTGCAGAAATGATAGTTGGAGTGGACAATTTAGAGAGTTGATTTGTGGGGATGGACTGCTTGAGACATCTAATTTTGGAAGTGAGTTGTGGCTACCATCAGGTTATCACCTTGCCCACGATTGGTCACATATATTATTTTTTAAATGGAATATGATCATGAATCTGTTCAATTGGAACTGTTGATAAAACAATAAGTTGTACCATTGGACTGGCAGACCGTAGTGTACTTGAGTCCTGGTTTCACAGTTGACATATTAAAAGTTTTATTGAGCTAAAGATCTTGTTAGGTGAATTTTGAGATGAAAAATTGAATGAAATTTTCTTCCTCTTTACTTGTGAGTACGATGTGCCAACATATAAGGGTTTGTGTTAATAAGTGTCCCCTGGTTGACGGTTAGTTTATTGATGCTAGGAATGAAAAGATATACTATATTTTTTGTTCTATCATGTTTCTGTTTTACAGAACCCGAGTGGAGAGTTGACTACATGAAATGTGATGTTTCATTTTGTATGCAATTGGGGTTGGTTGACTCCAATAAGGTTCCTCAAATAAATGAATAAAATCTGAATTTCAAACTCTATGACTGTTACTTTTTTTCTATTACTATCTTGATGATATCCTGTCACTTAATATCTCACACAATTTCATTGTTATATGTGGTCATGACTCATGATTGTTACTTCATATGTTTTATTTCCCCAATATCAAAGAACTAACATGAGGGGAGGAAAGAATATAACTGAAGAACGAATGTTCTGTTATCAGAGATATGGGATGCGCTTCGAGCTGCGGCAGAAGCTGAATTAATCCTTGCACAAGCAATTATTGATAGTGCTGGCGTGATTGTCCAGAATGATGATTTAACAATTTGCTATGATGAGAGAGGTGCCATTTGATAGCTTTGTCTTTCTTTCTATTCTTTCTATGCAAAAATTGTCAATTCCCATAATTTAACTTGCTCATAAAATTAAAATTGCAGGTGCCAAGTATGAACTGCCCAAGTATGTCTTGAGTGAGCCGATCAATTTGATTCACGAGACCTGACAAACAGAGACCAAAGAATACAGTGATTCATTTAGAATGTAAATCGTGTAAATTAAGATGATAATACTCGAATCTCCAAGATGTCTTCCTATTAAAATCCCCACTCGTGTACAATATAGTTCTTGTCAGCAAAAGCTCGAGCTGTTTCAACAATGAGATTCCATTAAACTCCCCATCATATTCTAGGAGACAACCGAATATCCAACACAATTTCAATAAATTTATGATGTATGGATTCAAATGTTTAGTTTGGAAACTAAAAGAATTTTTGTGAATTTGTGTATGGTTTGATGAAACTTTCTTATGTTTATGGTGTAAACTGAAGATTTCTAAAATAGTTACCGGATTAACCACATAATTGCTTGATTTGCTGTTGACCCTATCATTGGGGTATGTTTGGTTTTAGTCGAGGCCCATAAGTTCAGCTTTCAAAAGGCCAGTCCAAAAAGCTAGCCTGTTTATGTTTCTTTATTATAGTTTTTAAAATAGGCCTTGCCCAAAAGTTACCAATTCAAAAAAACTCTGAACTCTAAACCAAAGCCAAGGGCATCAGAGTTTTATTCCTTTCTCATTCCTTCCTTCTGTTTCTGATTTTTTTAGTAAAAAGAATTCCTAATTAAACATCCTAGTTTAGACCTTAAACCCTAGTCTTAGCAATGCCAAAAAAGCCACTGTTTGATTGCTTTTTCATATTGCTTTTTAGTTCTATGATTTCTTGGATATTGATGTGAAACAAGTTGGTAGTTTTTTTATGGTTGAAGGGCTTTTATTATATTGCATGCGTGCAAAAGGGATTCAGAGCATTACTTCCCACCCTACAACCTACACATAGTAGCAAAGGAGTGCAAAATCGCCGCAAAGTAAGTCCATTGGCATGTGATGTGAGCAACTAATCACCAAACAAAATCCTTTAAAAAATAAGTTTAACTCGAGATTAGAAATTGGATTTCCCCCGGAAGAAAAAGAAAAAAAAAAGATTGTTAACAGATAACCAGAACATTGTCTTTTGGGAACTAGACATGAAGAAACCTTTTCCAATACAAAAAAATGATGCCCTTCACTTTACCTTCTTTGCGTAAAAAGGTGAGGAATCTTCAACAAGGTCAGCCTTCATCGGATGATATAAATCATGAGAAGCGATAATGGCAGTCAAAGATTTGGGCACTATTAACTATGTATTAATCTTCATTATTAGACCAAAAAAAAAAAAAAGAAATATGTGGGAGCCATCTTTTAACTTTTTAGCTAACAATGTTCAATGTCGAGACAAACAGAACTTGTTGTATTATTAATGCGATATTGTTTAGCCTTGCTTTGGGGTATAGCTTGCTGGAAAAAAAAAAGGTGCCCTAATCATTTGCATTGGGAGTAGTTTTGCAACCCAAATTTCACAATGTTTCTAATTTCCTTTTTGATGGAAGTATTCTTAAGTGTGCCTTGGCTCTCAAAGAAATTACAATCAACATTTTTTACTAGGGTTTGTGTTATAAAGCGAAAGGTCTCATGTCATCAATAGCCAAAGATTAAAGTTTAATATATAAGCAAGGATGAACCCTTCTCTTCAATTGTCTTTTTTAATACAAAATTCCGAAATAAATCGCCAGGTCCCCAAACCAAACATTGAAAAAAGAAATGTTTAGATATCCCGTGGCACATTTATTTATGATTTAAAATTTTTTCTCTTTTCCTCTCTCTATTCATTATTTTTTGTCTCAATGGTTGAATCAATCTCATAGGTGGTTGAGATTGTTGAACAAAATTAATCTCAGAACAGACATTTTCTACGAATATGCATCTGACTGGTTTAAAAGAACACCAAACAACCATTAAATCGAGGTAGATATCTTTTCATAAATAATTAAATAAATGCCTTCCAGCTTCTACATGTACCTTCTAAATTAGCCCTAAATTGTTTATTGTACTTGAACGTCTCGGGCAGACTCTTTTTCTTTTCTGCTATAAATTCATTTACTTCAGCGTCTACTTCTCCTAAAGAACCTTAATTTATATCGTCCAGACATATTCGATGGAGAAACTACATGTATTGGATTCTAAAAGGGAGAAATATCAAATTAAAATAGAAAATATTGAGACTAAAACATTAATTATGTAATGTCATGAATGTATGCCAAAGTTTTTCTTTTTGGGCCAATAATGTGTGTTTCTCAATTAATTCATCCATATATTATTGGTTGTGTATGCTTAAAATGACTTAATTATGTTGCACATATATTAGTTAAAAAAAAACTTAAGAGTCAATGAAAGCTTGTTGAATTGGTAAAAATTAAATATTTCACTAATAAAATTTAAATTCAATTCTTACAACTAATAAAAATTTTTTTATTAACGATATGTAAATTTAATTAAATTCTCGTTGAAACTTACAGCATGCTTTGACATTGAAATGGGGTAGCCTTTCCTAAACTATAACTTTCTTTTGTTCACCAATTGGATGGTTGAAGCAAATAATATTGCTCATATTGTATAACATAAACATGCAAAAACCGTGATGATCTTGGGATCTTATCTTCTACTACCATATAAGGCGAGGGGAAGATGTGAATTTAGGACATGAATAACAAGAAAGGCATATCTTCTTTTTATTCACTTGTTCATTATTAATGCTAAAGGTTCTTGCTTACCCTACAAAAGCACACTGCATCTATCGGCAACTCGGCATGGCTGGAATGAAAGACAGCTACTCACAAAGAAAAAGTAAACTAAAAAAAAAAAAAAAAAGGCCAAGTAATGGCCAACCCTCAAGGTCACTCTGCTCTCTGCACAATTAAAGAAAAGTACTTGGGGATAGTTCATAGCTATAATTGGCACCAACAAAGTTAAACGGGGTTGTTTAATGTTGTCACATGCATTATGGTCCCGAGTTTCTAACTTATCTATAGATGAACAATTTGGTCCCAAGGAATTAGCTCATGGACAAATAATTATTTTGACCTATTTTTGGTTCCTTATAAATGAATGAAAAGCTAACAAATATGTAAACCTAAACTTTTCTTTTTTGGTCTGAAATTTAAATTTTAAAAGATGACAAAGTATCATAGCCAATAAAGTTGAAAGTGTTGACACATAACTCTTTCGTTCGTCTGTGAGTTTAATAATTCCATTGAATATGTCGAAAACAATTTTAAAAAAATCAAGAAATTAAATATAATAAAAGATATGAAATTCGAGTACCTTTTTGTTATTTTAAACTTTCTTTTTCAACAAAAAATGCAATAAGTATAGACTCAAACCATTAATGCATCTGAATACAGTAAGTTATTATTCAATGGTACTATTTTATCCTATAGAGTGAAGGTATCCTAAAGCCAACGATGATACCTTTTCTGAATTTGACACAACGCGCATATTTTTTTCCCAATGGTTGCACTATGCAACAAAAAATTATGTGGTCCATTCTCGACTTAGTTCTTTTTTTTTTTTTTTCACTTGGAGAATCCAAAGAAAAATCCACATGGAATTGGATTGACCTTGCCTGCGATCTGCTTCAATTATTGACCATGTTCGATAGCCAACCCATTCCTTTCTTATGCTTCTTTGTTGTGGGCACATGTAGCATGAGCTTAAATAAGAAGGATATGGGCATTGTCAGAGAATAGCTGATTCACTAGCTAATTCATTTTCAGGCCTCAACATTTTGATTTATCCCGCTTTTTTAGACAGATTAATCCTTACGGTTCACATTTGCATGTTATTGTTTACTTCGACTCGTTGATTTTATAATTTTATTTTTAAGATGGGGTGAAAATCACAAAAATATTTATATATTCAATCAAAATTTAATATATAATCGATATAAGATTTATAATTTTATTCTAAAATTAACATTAGTTTTATTTCTTATTGACTTGAGTTTCGTTTCAAACTTTTGCAAGTTTTTTATTTTTTAATAATAGACAGTATCAAGATTTGAACCTCATTATTAAAATAAAAAATCCAACATTTTATAGATATAATCAAATTAGTTTCACTTGATTAAGCAACCAAAGACTAATCTCTCAGATAGGGTAGGATGGGGGCCTCGGATGCTAAGTTAATTGTAAGAGTTTTTAGCAGAGATGGGCCTTTCAGCACAGTATTTGCTATTTTGGCAGCATCCCAGCATTTTCGTATGGAATGTCTTGTTGAGCATGAATTGAATTCCCTTCAGGCGAAACACAAACCACTGTCTCTCTCTCTCTCTGCAATAATTTCGGTTCGGAAATCCAACAGACATCCACTTAAAGTTTCATAGCTTTGTTTTGCTGATGCATCAATTCAAGTTCATTTCACATTGTCAATACTCCAAAATTCTCTTGTTGAGATTTTGTTTTCGGTTGTTCTTATATCTGGTTCTAGCTAAATATTGAACACTGAACTGTCTTTAAACCTCCAATAACAAAAAGTGCTGGTATTTCTCATATCTGTAGCTGAAGAGGAATATATTTAATAACAAAATCTCACTTTTGGTGTCACCATAACGGGCATGAGGGTCCAGGAAGCACCCCTGGACCCTCTTTTTCCTTTTATTAAAAGAATACAGTATCTTATTAATATAGAACAGCGACGGCTGCAATTTATGACCCCAGGTGACAGGAAGAGAGTTGTAACTATGCATTTTAATTTTTAACCTTGCTCATTCACAGTTTTATTTATGCTTTGGCAGCCACAAAAGCCTAAAGGAAGAGGAAAATAATGAACATCCAATAATCCAATTTACTTATAAATTGGTTGACTACTATTTGCATGATAAGTCCAAAATTTTCATTTTTGTATACATGAAAGCTGAGATTTTGTTAATAAGCTGAGTAATTATAAACCATGTCGTTTTGTGATCATGCATCTATAAACTAATTAATTAGATATCTTGTTACCATTCCATGTCTTGAACTAGTAGATTGTGGCTCATAATTACTTTGATTAAGAAAATATGATGATGAGAATTAGTTTTCATTTGAATTTCCTCGTATATTTGATGTGATGTAAATGAATTTATTGTATCATTAATTAAATTTAAATATTAATTTTAATAAGATCAATTCAATATAAATTTTTTATTAAATATTTTTTTTAATTACAATTATAATAATTTTTATTATTGTTTTTAATTTTACCGCAATCAATGAACAACAGCATTGAGTCATGATTCATGGGTTGAATCTTGACACATGAGAGCGACTTTGACAGTTAGAAAATCGTAAACTTGCTTTAAATCAAAGGAATATTACCTGTTTAAGAGCCATGCTACTGGCCAAAATTCGAAGGTCCATTGGGAGGCTTAGGAAAAAAAAAAATGAAGTTCATTCACAAATGGAAGAAGCCTTGTTTTTAACATTTAAAATTCAAATCTGGGCAGACTTATTTTTAATTGTATAATATATATTATTTTTTATATTTAAATATATTGTATAATTTATATATTTATAAAAGATAAATATATATTATTATAATATAAACATTAAAAAAATTTAATTCTATATATATATTTTAAAACTTAATAAAATTTAAAAAATAAATTTGAACAGGTATAAATTGTAACATTTACTAATTTAAATAGATATGAACACAATTTAAAACTCAAATTATTAAACTAAAATTTGAACAAGCATATATAATATTGATATTATGCCTAAATTAGGTTAGAATATGACCCGACCAATCTATTCCCCTCTTGTCTCCTTTTAGTCTTTTTAAGCCTTGTTTAATATTTTTGTTGAAAATAACTTTGGCCTTCAAATTTTAATTTTGACCCAAACGCAAATACGCAATGCTAAATGATAAAAAAAATTTGGGTTTTCAATTTAAAACTTGATTTTATAACTTAAGCTAGAAAGTTCTTTAAAAGATGCTTTTAAGGTGAAAATTTGCTTTTAGAAAAGAAAATCACTTTATTATCTTTATATTTATAATATTTTATTATTTTGTATATATATATATATTTATACATTTCAATTACTCATAATATTTTTTTTATAGTAATATTAAACGTTTAAAATTGTTAACCATATTTTTTTTCAATTTAAAATTTGTCCAATTGCAACAAAATGCTAAACTAGATCTTAGAGAGGCTCATAGTTATAGATATCTTTCTTCTCTTTTTAAGCTGTGGGTCAGTTATGGAATCATCTGTTTGGGACCTAACATCTTATGTAGATGTTGATGATTTAATAAAACTTCTTAAAAAATATGGAAATTTTAATGTGTTCTGCAAATATCAGCCATATTTCTTTACCATTTTGGTTCAAAAGTATGTACGGAATAATAAATTTACGAACCATAAAGACAAGGGAATTATGGGTCTTAGAAAGAACAATATTTAAACATTTTATGATATGAAAAAAAGCTTTTGAATATTCTCATTTTGGTTTTAGGTATATTTTATCTATAAAGCATTTGGGATCCATTTGGAATATGGCGTTGTTTTTTGAGATCCATTTCAGCCTCTACAACTCTAATTTTATATGTAGAAATTGGTGGCTACAGCATAGGGATGAGAAACAAAAAATCAAAAAATCAACTTAAAATTATAATATTTAGTTTCGATCGATTTTTTTTATTCGATTCGAATTAAATTTAAATATTAAATATATATATTATATTTAGATCAAATTTTAAATTAAAATATAAAAATCAAATCGAAGTAATTATATATTTTTTAATTTTTATTTTTAAAAATTTTTATAAAATAAAAAAATAAATTCATATCAAAATTTATTTAATATATTAAAATAATATATAAAAATTAAAAAAATTAAAAAATAATAAATCAAACTAAAAAATTAAATAAAAATTTAATTTTAATTTAAATTCAAATATAATTTTAAAATTTTATAATATTATATAATATTTTAAAAAATAAAATAAAATCCAATATGATTTCTCAACTATTATCACCCTTATTATAACCTATACAAGCCGCCCATAGAAATTGAAGATGCAAATTACTGTCTTCTCTTATGAAAAGTTAAAGAATTACAAACAAAATCATGCTTATATTTTAATATTTTTTTCACCTTCAATCAAACATGGCATCATTCAAAAGGGCAGAAACAAACAAAAAATTGAAACATCATAGTTAGTCAAATTACATAATGTAGTGTTGTTTCAAAAAAGGTCACTTCTTACAATTATAATATCATGCCAATATTCAACATATTGGTTACTTTTTGGTCCCCCCCAATTTCAAAGAAAACCTTAATTTTATTCATACTTTCATAATCAAAATCTTTTATTGGAAGATGGGGAGCAAAGAAAATAAAATCAAAACCTTTTTCTTTGAAATAGTTCTTTTAAAATTTAAATACAAAATGAATTTGCATGCTTAAATGGACAAACCGCTTTGTTGGCATAATGTCCTATTTCCACAGTTGTGTTTCTGACTTTCTGCCTGTAACAGATCTAAGCTAATCCCTCTCTCTCTCTCTCTCTCTCTCAAAGTATACTTTGTAAGTAACACTCTAAACACTTAAAAGTACTTCACTCTCTCTTTCTTTATATTCTTTATGGTACTCTCTTTATCGCTCTCCCTTTGTCTGAAGAAAAAAAAGGAACTCTGTTTCTTTCTCTGGGGTTTTTTCATGTTTTTGTGGGACTATCGTTTTCTTTTGAAAGATAGGCCCAGGGTTGTGAAAGAACATGTGAAGTGGGGTGGCAGACAAAGAGAGAGAAAAATAGATAGAAGGAGAGTGATTGATAGAGAGAGAGAGATCGGCGGGGGGGGGGTGTTTCTTAATGATGGGAACGGGGTTGTGAAAGAACATGTGGAGTGGGGTGGCAGACAAAGAGAGAGAAAAATAGATAGAAGGAGAGTGATTGATAGAGAGAGAGAGATCGGGGGGGGGGGGGTGTTTCTTAATGATGGGAACGGTTCATTTTGCTTTTTGGGATTTATCAGGTGAATGTAGTTAAAAACACCTCCTTTTCCTCTTCTTTTTCTTTCGTCTGCTTCTTCTTCTTCTTCTTCCTGTTCCTCTTTGCCTAATTTTTCTTTTTGCTTGCTCTTTTTTCGAACGTTGAAATCATGGGTTTTTAGTCACCAGCTTTCTTTCTTTTTTTTCTCTACTGCCCATTTCTTTTCAAAAGATATAATCTTTGAAGGATTTAAAGCTACAAGGTTGAAACTACCGGGTTTCTTTAGGCTTTTTATTTTTATCTATGATTTATTTTTGCATGTTTCAAGTTCTGGGTTCTGTGCCTTTAATCTCATGCATTGAAGGTGGAAACTTTTGGTACAAAGAACTCTTCTTGCTTCCTTGAGTTTGAGTTGCAGCTCTGAGGTTTCAAGCTTGAAATTTTGGAAGTTTGCTTACTTGGCTTTCTAAGGTACTTCTGTTACTTACTATGGTTTATTGTACTTGTAGGTATATGCCTCTAAGTAAATGATGGGTAGCTTAAAGGGCTTGTTGTGCTTGATGGGAAATTTTCAAGTTTGTGGCTTGATCATCTTAAATGGCCTTATGGTCCTTGAAAATGAATGCTTTGCTTCTGAGGAAAGATCTGTGAGTGCTTCAAGTTTGGTAGTTAAGACAGTTTTGCTGAATAATTAGTGGGATGTGAGGATTTTTGGTGCTTTTAAAATAGCCATAATTAAGGGGAGATTTGTGGCGTGCGAAATTAATGAAAATGCGATATGTTTTGGTATGTTTCTTTAAGTCAAAAGAGATTCCGAAATCAAACACATTAATGCTCTGATCATGACCAGGGCTGTTCGAGATAGTATACTCAAGGATGCAAATGGTGATATCAGTAATCATCTACGCAACCACATTCATTTGACTAATTGTATCCACCTGAAGAACCATATGCATAAGCACAGCCCTATATTGGCAGACAGATCGCTTATGAGGGACCTTGTAGTCCTTCAAAGGTCACGCTCTCTCAGGGATCCTTCTGCCAGTCCTCCCTCTTGGCATTCACCTTCTGTCGTTGATTTGCTTTCCAAGAAGGGTGATAAGGATGCTGTCCGGGAGGGGAGAAGGTCTGTGGGCGTTGAGAGGCAGAGGGATGGAAGGAGGCTTTCAGTAAGCTCACCACCTTTAGCTAATTTTGCAACGTCAAAAGTTGCTCCGGGTGAAGCTAGTGGGGTCAATGAAGGAGTGCCTGCAATTAGTGACCGTAGTAGTAAGAGTGGAGCTAGAGATCGTAGAATAATTAGGAAAGAAGAATCTAGTATGAGAAGTAATAGGACTGACCTTTTGGGTGAAAATAAGGAGCCTGTACAAGAGCAAGATGGTAATGGTTTGCCTCCTGACGCTATATCCGGTAGTTCCAGACTGAAAGATAAGAAGAGTAAAAAGCAAAAGGGGAAGCAAACACAAGTTCCTCAAGTGAAGACGCTATCTGAGCAATTGAATGACCTGCCCCTGGATAGTGATGATGTAGCATCTTCAAACGTCCACCTTCGTGGAAGGCGTGTTAGACCAGAGCAAACTGGTGATGAACCTGAAGTCAGCATCCGTGGTTATTCAAGTGGATTAAACAGGGTGAAAAGATGCAAGTTTCGAGGGGCAAGTAGAGCTCGGGCTGTTTCTTCTTCTAGAGAGGTTGGAGGTCAGAATGAGTTGTCTGTGGCTTCTAATTCATTTGTGCAAGGTTCAGTGTGTCCAAAGTATGGTATGGAAGAGGAAGAAAATGAATATGATGAGCGAAATGTTACTAGGGCCCCTAGAAATGGATGTGGGATTCCCTTTAACTGGTCAAGAATTCATCACAGGGGTAAAACATTCCTTGACATTGCAGGAAGGAGTTTTTCCTGTGGTTTATCCGAATCTCGATTAAGGAAAGGTGGGGCAGGTTCCCATGGAAGAAATGCTCCTGAAATGCCTGTGGAATCTGATCAATCAAGCTCATCTGCAAAATCCAATGCAGAGGCGCTGCCTCTTCTAATTGAGGCATTTGGTTCTGAGAACAGCACAGAGAATGCTGGTTGGGTGAATGACTATTCAGGGGAGCTAGGAATATTTGCTGATAATTTATTGAAACGTAACATTGATTCTGACCTTGCTTCTGAAACAAGATCTGGTGACCAACACAAGTTAGGCAGGAACCGCCATGGTAGGCACCAAAATATCACACAAAAGTACATGCCAAGAACTTTTAGAGACCTTGTTGGACAAAATTTGGTATCACAAGCCCTTTCTAATGCTGTCATGAAAAGAAAGGTCGGATTGCTATATGTCTTTTATGGACCTCATGGAACGGGAAAAACTTCCTGTGCTCGGATATTTGCCAGAGCATTGAATTGTCAGTCAGTTGAACAGCCCAAACCTTGTGGCTTTTGCAATTCTTGTATTTCGCATGACATGGGTAAGAGTCGAAATATAAGGGAAGTTGGTCCTGTCAGTAATTTTGACTTTGAGAGCATTATGGATCTACTTGATAATATGATCATCTCTCGGCTGCCTTCGCATTACCGAGTTTTTATATTTGATGACTGTGATACTTTGTCTCCTGATTGTTGGAGTACCATATCAAAGGTCATTGATCGAGTGCCCAGGCGTGTGGTGTTTATTCTTGTCAGTTCAGGTCTTGATATTCTGCCTCATATAATCGTGTCCAGGTGTCAGAAATTCTTTTTCCCAAAACTGAAGGATGCAGATATCATTTATACTTTGCAGTGGATTGCCTCCAGGGAGGGCATTGAAATTGACAAAGATGCGCTTAAACTGATTGCATCTCGATCAGATGGATCACTGAGGGATGCAGAGATGACACTCGAGCAGCTGAGTTTGCTTGGGCAAAAAATCTCTGTTCCTCTGGTTCAGGAATTGGTGTGTCTTCATAACCTAATTAGATATTAGCATAATAATTTACATTGCCATGCACCGGTTAATATTAATGATGCTCTTCTAAATATGTGCTGTGTTTGTTCCATGTCTTATATGCTGATGAAGAGTTGAGTTTCTGATTGCCTCCGCCCTTTTTTCGCCTGGCATTTTGGCTACCTAAATTAAATCAATCCAGTGGTCTCCTTATTTCGCTTCAAATAATTATATGTTCCTTGTATATTCTAGTTGAAATATTCAGCTAGGTGTTGTCACTACTTCTGCACCTGAGAAATTTTGGTTATTGTCCTTTGCCAAATTTTCTAAAGAGTAATATTACTCAACTTTTTACTTGATTAAGCTATTTATTCTTTATTTTGTTGATTTGAGCTTTAAGACATGCTCGTATAATTCTCTATATCATTGTTTTGCTTTGTGATTTTGCAAACAGAAGACAAAGGTGGCTTTGGCTTCTTTTCTTATTTAGTTTAAATTTTGATTGACATTATGAATCTCGATTCAATCTTGTTCACCTACATAAGTGTAGCTGTAGTAAAGCATGGCATTTGTTTTTTTCTGAATATTATTAGGCTGCAATATGTGGTTTTTCCCCTTATTTATGAATTTCTTAAAATCAAAGGTATTCCTTCATTTAGTCTTTTTTATTTTTTAGTTTTTTTGTGGAATACTTCGAGTCTAGGTAAAGAGTGACACCTTAAGTTGGGAAAAATAACGAAAGAGAACAAAAGATTTATGATGATTAGCTGATATTTCTACATATGATTGCTCTAAATTTTATGGATGTGATTCACAGGTTGGGCTTATCTCTGATGAAAAGCTGGTGGATCTTCTTGATCTAGCATTATCTGCAGACACAGTAAACACTGTGAAGAGTTTGAGAGTGATAATGGAAACTGGTGTGGAGCCTTTAGCTTTGATGTCACAGCTTGCTACAGTGATAACTGATATTCTTGCTGGCAGTTATGATTTTACTAAAGAAAGGCATAGAAGGAAGTTCTTTCGAAGACAGCCATGTGAGTCTTAAAAGAGAAAATATCTTATTCTGTTTAAAATAATACTAAATAGTTGGCTAAACCATCCATTTCCTCTTTAGCTCCAGTAATAATTGTATGTATGCTCCCACTAAAGTTTCATATTTGGGAATCTTACTTGGTGTGGCGCTTTTATTATTGTTATTATTATTATATGTTTACCATTTTTTACATTGTTCAATCCTTTTCTGCTCATCAAACTTTTGTCTTCTGAAATTCTGCAGCTCTTAGATTGCAGCCAAGTACAAAAACATACAAATAATGAATAGACAAATACTCATTGGTTCTTTATGTTTAAATATTTATCTTTCTTCCAAAACTGATAGAACAGATTTATGCAATCCAGTGTCCAAAGAAGATATGGAGAAACTACGCCAAGCTTTGAAAACATTATCTGAGGCAGAAAAACAACTGAGGATGTCAAATGACAAACTAACATGGCTAACTGCTGCTTTGCTTCAGCTTGCTCCTGATCAGCAGTATATATTGCCCATTTCTTCTGCTGACACTAGTTCTCATCATAGTCCCTTGCCTCTGAATGATGTGGATGGAAGAGATGTAGCCAGGAAAGGAGGTGAGATTGTTGAGCTGTGTAATAACTCTAGAGGCTTGTCAACAAATGCTAGGTTGGAAAATCTCTATCCTGGAAGTTCTGGTGATTTTGAAGCTGGTATCATGAATGGCATAAATTTAGATAGGAAAAGACATGCTGTGGCTGAGGTAGCTCCTAAACAAACATCCACAGTCTCTGCTGATTTGATCAGGGTTACTGGGAGGCAGAATTTAGTCAAAAACCATAAGGGAATCGAAGAAATTTGGCTGCAGGTGCTTGAGAAGATTCAAGTTAGTAGTCTAAAAGAGTTCTTGTATCAAGAAGGAAAACTGATCTCTGTCAGTTTTGGTGCAGGTACATCCTAATGTGCTATATGCTCATTTTTGCTTGCCTTGATCATGCAGCTGTAACATACTTTTAGATGAGAATTGTTGCCAGCTACTTAAATTACTATGTGCAAGAAATTTTAGCAACTTGAAGCCATAATGCATTGGCCATTGGCATTTTAATGGTTTTATCTTTTATGGGATTTAATGAAGTTCACAGCCAAGGCTGAGTAAGATAACCCAAAAATTGATTTCAAGAATTCTTTCTCATCTAGATGGTAGCTTCGTGATTCACATCCAAGTTTTGCATATTAATTGGACCCAAAATTTATTCCTTTTTTCCCCTTTTATTTACAAGGATTTCTTGGTATTGGTATCACCTCGAGCAGCCACGTTTAGAAATGGTATGATTTTATAGGCGTCTCCTGCTTTTAATTGAAGTGTTCTTTTCTTTCAGCTCCAACTGTACAGTTGATGTTCAGTTCACACATGACCAAATCTAAGGCAGAGATATTTAGGGGGCTTATTTTACAAGCATTTGAGTCTGTTCTTGGTTCTCCCATGACAATTGAAATTAGATGTGAAGGGAAGAAAGATGCCAGAGTTGGCATTCATGGACTTCTTGTTTTACCAGCTTCCGGGGATGGTCCATCTCAGATGGTCATGGATCCAGAGTCTAATTCTGGAAATATGATGCATAGGGCAGGTTTTGATGATACTAACAGAAGGTTTGTGAGAGATAAAGATGCTGGGATTGGCTCTCAAGCTCAGCTGTTGCACCCCGAATCTCTTGAAGCAGGAAGGAGTGAAATTGTTGAAATACCTGCGACCCCAAGAGAAGCCAAGGATAATGAACATGCTCACAACATAGAATCTAACAGAAGAGGTTCTAGGGTGAAATCAACTTTGTCGTCTACCTCAGGAAGACGGAAACTTAGGGAACTAAGTCAGAGTCAGAGCATTGTTAGAAGTAAGGTATCCCTTGCACATGTAATTCAGCAGGCGGAAGGGTGTACACAGCGAAATGGATGGTCAAAGCGCAAAGCAGTTTCCATTGCTGAAAAGCTTGAACAGGAGAACCTGTATGTATATCTGGTGCCATTAAAATTCTCCAATTCTGTCAGCTTTTGTTTTGTGGGTTGCAGGTGCTTGGTCAATTGTTAAGCACCTGAATCTTTTGTTTTATTATAAAAACTATGGTAAGAAATGCTAGGTAATCCTTTTATATTTTCACATTTTTGAGGCCTGTCCCTCTGTGAACCTATGCAAGTCTATCCTAGTCCATAAATTTAATTAGTTATTATTTACTAAAGGATCATACTAAGATGAAAATATAGAATAAATTGGAGTATTAATCATTTTCTGCAATCTTCATCTAAGAATTAACTTAATATTTGTAAATTTCAGGAGATTGGAACCTAGGTCGAGAAGCTTGCTTTGCTGGAAAGCTTCTAGAGTAACTCGTCGGAAGGTAATTTATCTAATAACTAAACTTCTTAAATTAGCATTATTCTGATAAAAAGTAGTGATTATTTGTTCCAAACTTTTCCCCCTTCTAATGTCTGATAATTTTTCTCTCTGCAATAGTTTTAACAATGTTTGTTTATCGTTTTTTAAGATGTTTGCTTATGTCCCACAGCTCTCACGCTTGAAGATTCGGACACGAAGACCGCATTCATTATTGAAGCTTGTCTCCTGTGGAAAATGTCTCTCTTCTAAATCTCCTAGGTAGGCCAAAAATTTTGGATGGCTTTGAACGGTTGGTGCATGACTTAATTGAATTCATATTACATTTGTAATTAGCTATTTTCTTGCCGTTTACAAGGTCAATTCAATCTGTCAAATCTTTTTCCTTGAATAAATGTACAAGTTCTTTCCAATGAGAAAATGTAGGCACGCAACTAGATAGTGCAGCCATATTTTTAGTGAATTCTAGTTTATGCTAATCATTAATGGTATTAGGCCTTGTTCAACTTCCATCCAATAATTGATTTTCCACGATCAATAGTATTTATCACTTACTCTTTTAATATAATGGTGGTGACTGGGGAGATGACCCATGACAATACTTTCTAGATGTGGCCAATGACTTTTGAGGATTCTTTGAATTTGTTGTCATGCTAAATGATTGAAGCTTGTGCATATGGAGCTCTCTTTTTCTGGAATAAATTCAGCATCAAATTCTCTCGCGCAGTTCATGATACATGCATCATGTACATGCTTAAATAAAATGGTTTCTCAAGAAAGAATAGCATGTCAATATAAACGAGGTTTCCATGTTCGTGAACAAGTTGTTTGAAGATCAAAGCTTGACCATGATACCAGTGATGGAAGTTTTAATTATGGTGTAATTTTGTCTATTCTGGAATGAAACAGTGGTGGTGCTGACTTTCCCGTTCTGTTCATATTCATATCTTAGTCAAAGCCAATCGGGATGGGGCTCAAACCTCCATAGCCATAGGTTTGTTGGATCACAAACGATTTGAATAAAAAAAAGAACCGAAAAGTCTCAAATCTTTGTTTTGCAAAGATGTCATTCTTTACAGCCCCGTCTAACTTTGAACTCAAACTTTGTCAAAAACCCAGAATTCAGTTTTCTTGATTGACCCCTTCTTTACTCCAAACAACAGTAACAACAACAACTAGTTCAAAATGATCGTTTGACGCTTGGAAATGTATGTTAGAACTTTAAACCCCAAATCCAATGAGAAAATATGACAATGCAATGTAAGTATGACTTAGAGTATTCAATTTTAGATTCAATTGTATTTTAATATTACTAATTTAAGTTGATGTATTGATCTTGACTTAATTCTCCTTAATTATTTGTTCATATGGTCTGCAGGTTGAAGATTTAGATTATTTATAAAATGCAAAAGAAATTATCCATGATTTTATTTATTTATATGAATCGTGTATTCAATGCAAAAGAAATTCAATGCCTAATTCTTGTTAAATTGTTTAACCATGGACCTATCCCATGGCTTCAAAGAGTGGTTTAAAAGCTATATAAGGTTGTTTTCGTTAAAAATGTATTGTTATGTGTAACATTTTTATTTGATATGAAAATTAACGTCATTGATTTTTGTTTTTATAAAAAAAAAAAAGTGATAACTTAAGAATAAAAAATTTATAAATGTTGAAATTTAAAATTTAAAATTATTAAATTATTATATGAATTAATTAAATTAATTTTAATTTTAACTTCAAAATCTAATTAATTTTGCTTTATATTTAAATGTTTTTAATTTGTCATGTTTATACAAAGTATTCACATCCAATCATGACACTTGAGTGACAATATTATCTATGATTTTAAACTAAATATTTATAAGTTTACATAAAATCATTGTTTAATAAAAATTACTACAAGTGATTATGATAGTCATTCGATTTAAATTAGAAAATTGTATCAAGTAAATAGAAGATGTATGATTCAACTAATGTATTGGCATTTGCATATGCTCCGTAGTTCGTACGTAGAAATTCAATTTAACCAATGAATGCAATATTTTAAAAGTCCAAAGCTCAAATCATTACATTTACATTTATTTATTTGTATGGCAACTTGTTTTCTGAGGTTTTGGGAAACAGCGCGTCTACCGGTGTGTTTTGTCATGGTCAATACATTTCTTTGACTTTGTTTTTAATATTTTATGAATTGGCCTACTATACGTGTCGTGATTGGAAAGGACAAGAAAAATGGAGCTGTTGACGGAAGGCAATGGGCCACGTGCCTTCCAACTTGCGATATAGGGCAGCGGTATGGAGAATGCAAGTGGAGGCGTGCTATTCAACGATGACATTAAATTTTTTTAGCAAATGTATTTGGGACATAATAATGTTTAAATTGATGCAAGAATCGATGGACCGTATCCCTTATAAAAGTATTATTTACTTTGAAAACTTGATATTGATTTTTCAAAGTCACATTAAAATAAACTCTTCTTCCCCATCGACCAAACTATCAATTCCCATTTATTTTCAAATAAAAGTCGATGTCATGTTCCAACTTCCAACTTTCACATCCTTCCCAACCATTTAATTTGTACTTTCATTTCAATTTCTTTTACACCCTTTTCATTTGATTTCAAAATTACTCCTCATTACCCGGTCCTTTTCTTTTTCCCACTTATGTGTTTACTCTTATAGGTAGTGGTTAAGGGGTCACATCTTAAATTTGTGTGTATTTATTTTATGTAAAAAATATATAAAATATAAAAAATATTATGTTATAATTTATATGGATATATCAAATATTAAATATTTTTTTAATTTATTATAATTTTAAATTATATTATTCTTTATTTTTTTATCATTTTAAGAATTATTAAATCTATTTTAATTTTTGTCTTGGTTAATTTATTTATTTGTTCAATTTTTAAATGAAAAGGCTTAGCAATGGATTTCCTTGAACTCTCCGAGAAGCTTTTGTCGACAAAAGACATGGTCTTTTTTTTTTTTTGAACGTTTGTTTTGAGTGTTGGATTTGCTTTTTGAAGGTCAACCTGTTGTAATTGTGTTTTTGGGAAAACGTTTTATAGTCAAAGTTGATTTTTTTTTTCTTTTTGCCAGATGGATGCTAGCAACTGCCAAGAACGATAAAGCCAACCTCTTCTTACAATGACTTCACAATTCCACGCGCCTAAAAGTCGCGTGCCCACTGGCTTTCTTTTGCCAAGTGTTATGAGTTATGTCCCATTTTGCTTAAATGGGGAAAAGAAATTTAATCAAACTATGAAATATGAATAACATTAATATTTAGTGTTACATATTTTAATTTAAAAAATGAAATTCAAAATTCAATAATTTATTGTTGTAACATAGAATCATTAATTGGAATGATATTTTAATTTAAATGTCAATAAATCAAAGATTTACTACTTAGAAAGTGGATTGTGATGATTTATCATTTTATCTTAAAATAAAATTGAATTAAATCAAAATTTTAATTTAATTATTTTTAATAAATAATTATTCAAATTTTAATATTTATAATTTTTTTTATTTTGAGATAGTTTCTTTTTTTAAATAAAATTAAAAAAATTAATAAATCTACAAAAAATTGCAATGCAAAATGCCAACAACATTGTAAAACCAAAGTCGTGGAAGAGCCAGCAAGAATCTAAATGAAGTCTAACCAGACAAAGTGAGCTCATTTTTGAAACCCCAAAAAGTCCAAATCCTGGATAAATTTAAACTCTCCCTAAAAAAGCCGCCCTTCATGGTTTACAAAATCTAGTTATACAAACATACGGGGTACCCAAGCTATACGCATTTAATAACCATTCTCTTTCTCTCTCTCATTGTTTAAACAGTAGATAGAAGAAAATGGAAAATAAACGAATGGACAAGAATCTGAATAATTATCCGTCGAAGCCATACAAGTCATTTTCACATCAACTGCATTGAAATTCTTAGAGAGAGAGAGAAAACGCGAACAAAGAAAGACAAAAGGGTCAAGAAAGGGGAAAAATTATCTCCCTCTTGTACCAATCCTTTTTTTTTTTTTTTTCAGTTGTATAAAAGAGAAGCTTTTTTTTTTTTTTGGTTACCAAATCTTGCTGTCATTTATGTACAACATCGTTTGAAGATTCAACCATCAACCAAGAACAAGAATAAGGCTGAAAAATATTGGGTATTCTTTTTTTTTTTTTCATTTACATTTTCTTTGGCTTTTCATTTCATTTGTTTGTGGCAGATCTAATTCTGTTTTACCAGAGTTGGTTCTCTTAAGACCCTTTGTTTTAGAATTTCACTTTGGAGTTATCAACCATGGCAACAGCTGCTATATTCTCTTCTCTAAGGAGGAGAAGATCGCCGTCTCTAAATGCTTTCTTGGCTCCCGTTGACTTAACAGAAGTAGCTCTTGTTCAAATCCTGGCAGCTATATCATCTGAGCTTGTTTCTTGCTTTTCCAACAATGTGTTCTTCTTTCAGCGAAGAAATTCTCGATCTTTGATTCGGAAGATTGAAATTTTCGTTGTTCTCTTGGAGTATTTGAGGGATTCAGAATCAGGTTCCATGTCAAGCCTGCCTTCAACAGCCATATTGTGCTTCAAGGAGCTCTATTTGTTGCTATATAGGTCAAAGATACTACTTGATTATTGCGCTCAATCCAGTAAGTTATGGCTTTTGCTTCAAAACCATTCAATTTCAGGCCATTTCCACGATTTGAATCAGGAAATTTCCACCCTCTTGGATGTTTTTCCAATAAAGGATGTTGAATTGAGTGATGATGTTAGGGAACAAGTTGAGCTGTTGCAAAAACAGGCTAGGAAGGCAAAATTGTATGTTGATAAAAGTGATGAGAATTTAAGGGTTAGATTCTTTTCATTTCTTAATGAGTTTGAGAATGGGAGGATACCAAATTATGTGGACTTAAAGTTGTTCTTTGTGGAGAGATTGGGGATTAAGGATGCCAAAAGTTGTAGGCGTGAAATTGAGTTTTTGGAGGAGCAGATTGTGAATCACGAGGGAGATATTGAACCAACGGCTTCTGTGCTTAATGGGTTTGTTGCAATTACTAGATATTGTAGGTTTTTACTATTTGATTTTGAGGAAGATGAGGTGCAGTTGTCTTTTGGGAATCAGAAGAAACCGAGAAAAGAGTTGATTACTCGGGAGATTGCTGATACATTTTTAACTATTCCCAAGGACTTTTGTTGTCCGACATCTTGGGACTTGATGAGAGATCCGGTGATAATTTCGACAGGGCAGACTTATGATCGGAGTTCGATAGCTAGGTGGATGGAGGAAGGGCATTGTACTTGTCCAAAGACAGGGCAAATGCTCATCCATAATCGCCTTGTTCCTAATCGGGCTTTGAGGAACTTGATCATACAGTGGAGTACTGCTCATGGCGTCCCATATGATCCTCCGGAGACCACAGATGCATCCGCAGAGTCTTTTGCTGCAGCTTTGCCAATCAAAGCAGCGACTGAAGCCAATAGCGCAACAGCAACTCTTCTTATTCAACATCTAGCAAATGGATCTCAGGGAGCTCAGACTATTGCTGCTCGTGAGATTCGCTTGTTGGCTAAAACAGGAAAGGAAAACCGTTCTTTTATTGCAGAGGCTGGAGCGATACCACACTTATTGAAATTGCTGTCATCTTCAAACCCTGTTGCTCAAGAGAATTCTGTTACTGCAATGCTGAATTTATCCATTTATGATAAAAATAAAAGTCGAATTATGGACGAGGATGGTTTTCTTATATCAATTGTTGAAGTCTTGAGGCTTGGCCTCACAACAGAGGCAAGGGAAAATGCTGCAGCAACATTGTTCAGCCTCTCTTCAGTTCATGACTATAAGAAGAGAATAGCAGATCAGGGAGGAGCAGTTGAAGCCTTAGCAGGGTTGTTGAGAGTGGGAACCCCAAGAGGGAAGAAGGATGCTGTAACTGCTTTATTTAATCTGTCCACTCACACGGACAATTATGCGAGAATGATAGAGGCTGGAGCTGTTACAGCACTTGTAGGAGCTTTGGGAAGTGAAGGGGTTGCAGAGGAAGCAGCAGGTGCATTGGCCTTAATTGTCAGGCAACCAATTGGGGCTGAAGCTGTGGGGAAGGAAGAAATGGCAGTGACAGGGTTAATAGCAATGATGAGATGCGGAACGCCAAGAGGGAAAGAAAATGCAGTTGCAGCATTGCTTGAGTTATGCCGCAGTGGTGGGGCTGCTGCAACTGCAAAAGTGCTTAAGGCCCCTGCATTGGCTAGTTTACTTCAGACTCTGTTGTTCACGGGTACAAAGCGGGCAAGAAGAAAGGCTGCATCACTTGCTAGAGTATTTCAGAGGTGTGAGAATGCATCCCTGCATTTTGGTGGATTGGGTGTT